AACCCAGGTTCCTGGTGCTGTGAGGCAGCAGTGCTAAACACTGAGCCACAATGCTGGCCCAAAACAGCATATGGAAACACTCAGATCATAGCAACCTGGCAGCATATTTTATCCTGAGAAAACCACATCAATTCTTTCGGGTAAATCTAGAGTATGTGTTTTCACTTGCAAGGGAAACCAGAACTAGGGGTCATAAATATAAAGATAGTCAATAATAACTCTGAAAATCCAAGCTCAGACTCTTTGCCAGGTCGTTTAGGGATGTGCTTCCCAATTCTTTTTCTACAGTGTGACCCCAATTTAATTCCTCAGACTATGTGTTTCTCCAAAAATATGATGTTGGGATGAAGGTGTATGAAAGTTGTTTTAGATTCTAAAATGGTGGACCAAGAGCAGTGTGGATCTTGCAGCTGCTCCTGAGATTCAGGCTTATTTCTAGATTTACTTCTATATTTACATGAGTATGAAATGAATGGCGGGACATGGGGCAAGTGCAGGCAGGTGGACTAGTTTAGTTTGGGATTATGGTTGGCGTGGACTGTTTGGACCGAAGGGTCTGTTTCCGTGCCATGTGACTCTGTGAATCTATGAATCTATAAGCGCTGCCCTCTCAGGTGACCAGTCGCTGGCATTATTTGGAAGATATTTATCCCTCAGTTGACATCACAACAACACAGTCATTCATCATTATCCCATAGCTGTTTGAGGGAGACAGCTGTGTGTAACTTGGCTGTCACATTCCTTGCATTCCAGCAGTGACTACATTTCAGAAGTACGTCATTGGCTGTATAATGCTTTGTAGCACTTTTCCAATCAATTTGAAGAGTAAGAAGTAAAATTTCAGAAATATCTTGAGATAAATTAAATTTGAGAGTGTTTTGTTCAAAAAGAGACGCTATGAAAGAAAACAACAATAATATTCACAAAAAATATATGAAATTGGAACAAAGTTAGGCTTTTCGGCTGTTTGAGTCTTTCCCAACATTCAATAAGGTCTTGACTGACCGTTTACATTAACTCCACTTTCTCACTATATCCCCATGTTCAATGATCTACTAAGCATGCAAAAACCTATCAACTGCAGTCTTGAATACACTCAACGATAGAACAATCATAGTGCTCTGGAGTGAAACACTCCAAAGATACACAACATTCCCCTGAATTAACAAATGCATCTTTATCTCATTGCTAAATTGCTGATCCCTTATCCTGATAATATGATCCTTGAATTCTTCACTTCCCAGTGAAGACAAACCAGATCAGCATCTATCCCATTTTACGCTTAAGAATTTCTTTTGTTTCAATGAGATAAATTCTGATCACATACTTTGCATTCTATAATCTTCAAAATGTCCATTAAGTTGAGAAAGAAGGAAGGATATATTATCTTGGAAGGTGTACAATGTAGATTTACAGGAATGATACCTGGACATCTGGGGCTAAATTAGGAGACGAGATTATGTAACGTAGGCCTGTTTTCTCTAGAATTTAGAAGATTATGTGGTGAACTGATCAAATAGAGGATTTCAAGATTGGGGGCATATTTTTAAGGAGAGAGGAGAGAAATTTTTTAAAAATTCCTAACATGCAAATTTTTGACACAGAGGGTGGTTTGTCTGTGAAATTAACCTCCTGAGGAAGTGATGGATGCAGGTACAATTACAACATTTAAGACATTTGGATAGATAAACAAATAAGAAAGGTTTGGAGGGATATGAGCCAGGAGCAGGCAGGGGGGACTAGTTTAGTTTGGGATTACGCTTGGCATGGACTGGTTGGATGAAAGGGTCCGTTTTCATGTTGTATGACTCCATGACTCTATACTAACAGGAAAAGACAGGGTAGATAGAGATAAACTGTTTCCACTGGTTGGGTAGTCCAGAACTAGGGAACATGTGAGAATTAGGGCCAAACCATTCAGGAGAGATGTTAGGAAGCACTTCTACACACAAAGGATGATGGATGTTTGGAATGGTCTTTCAAAAATAGCAGCGAATGCAGGGTCAGTTGTTAGTTTTAAATCTGGGAGATAGACAATTTTTTTTTTAAAGCAAGGTATTAAGGGACAAGGGCCAAAGGCAGGTATATGGAGTTGGGCAACAGATCACCGATGATCTCATTGAATGGTGAAACAGGCTTGAGGAGCTGAATGGCCTGCTCCTGTTCGTATATTCCTATGAAATTAATGGAGAGAAGTAAGAAGTGGGTCAAGAGTGATTTATGTATTTAGAGATTTCATGTTAATATTAGTTGGATTTTATATAAACTGGCCAAATGCTGAAGTTAATGAATATGTAGATGTCCAAAAGCAAAATACTGGGGGTACTAGAAATCTAAAATAATGACAGAAAATGCTGAAATACAGTGGCAGATGTGCAGAGAGAAATGGAGTTTTTAGTAAATGATCTTCAACAGAACAGACAGAAAAGGTCAATGACAATTGCTTCCAGCAAATGAAGCAGATTCTAATGGCTCAGGAGCCCAAAGGAGAAAAAGGCAGTGCCTTTCACCATTCTCATTAATTTTGCTTTTACCTTTTTTAATGAAATGGGTTTACATTATGCAAGGGGTGGAATCTTCTGCCATTGCTGGGTTGAGTTACAGGCTGGAGAGGATTTAACGCAGAAGGATGGTGGAATATCTAAGCCCCATTACCTTTACACTTTCAAAGTCTCCCTGAAAAATGCAGCATATCCACTAATTCATAGGAACGCCTGGTCCAAGACCATCCAAACTGGAGCAGAAACATGTATCAAAGTGCCGCCCATCTTGAGCATCTCTGACAAGCCCGAGCAGAGGCTACACACAAACAATGGAAACAAGTGTGAAAACTCAAGCACCCACTGACCTGCCCCTTCAACTCTTCAGCCACCACCACCTTGACGCACGCGCACACACGCACACAGGCAGGCAAACAGTCACACACGTGCACACTGACAGACACACACAAACACACACACAGGCAAACACACTCTCACACACACACACACACTCAAGAAAAGAAAATGTTATAACCATGCTTCTACCATACCATGCATAATTGTCCCATAGCACATCAAACCTCAGCACGACCAGCTGAATCATACCATACCATTCTGTCCAAATTGTGGACATTCAACAACATTTCTGCCACTGACTATCCCACCAACAATATCCTGGTGGTTACCATTGACTAGAAACTGAGCTTCATTTTTAATTCATTCATGGGATGTGGGCATCACTAGCTGGATCAGTAGTTATTACCGATCCGTAATTGCCCAGACAACAGTTAAGAGTCAACCACATTCCTGTGGGTCTGGAGTTACATGTAGGCCAGACTTAGTAAAGATGGCAGATTCCTTCCCTAAAGGGCATTAGTGAACCAGATGGGTTTTCTGACAATTGACAACAGTTTCATGGTCATTGGTCTCCTAATTGCAGATTTTTATTTAATTCAAATTCCACCATCTGCCATGGAACCCAGGTTCCCAATGTATTACTTAGGTCTCTGAATTAATAGCTTAGCAATAATACCACTGACCCGTTGCCTCCCCATCGGACCATCCAGAAAAGTACTGTGGCTGACAAGAGCTGGTCAGAGGCTGAGAACTCTCCTGATGTCTGTCCCCCATCTACAAGGCATAAGTAAATAAGTAGCACCTTTCAAACCCGTGACCACTTCCATCTAGAAGGACAAAGGCAGCAGATATATGGGAACACCACCACCTCCAAGTTCCCCTCCAAGTCACTCACCATCCTGACTTGGAAATATATCACCATTCCTTCACTGTCGCTGGGTCAAAATCCTGGATTTCCCTCCCTAATAGCATTGTGGGTTAACCCACAGCAGGAGTTCTGCAGTGGTTCAAGAAGGCAGATCACCATCATCACCTTCTCAAGGGCAACCAGGGATGGGCAAGAAATGCTGGCCAGCCAGTGACACCCACATCCCACAAATGAATAGAGAAAAAAAAATGTCTGCACTATAATGAATACTCCCCGTTTGTTTGAATGAGTGCAGCTTCAACAACAGCTTCAGGATGCTTGTGCCATCCAGGACAAAGCAGCTCACTTGATTGGCTTTCCGTACATTATCTTGTCTATTCATTCCTTCAGTATCAACACCACACAGTGCCTGCAGTGGGTACCATGCACAAGGTGCACTGCAGGAACTCATGAAAGCTTCTGCACAGCTCTTTCCAAACCTATGACCTCTACCACCTAGAAAGACAAGGGCAGCAGATGCAGAGAAACATCATCCTCTCCAAGTCACTCACCATTCTGAGTTTTCTGTCATCAGTCAAAATCCTGGGACTCAAACCTGAAAAGCAGGTGTACCTAAGCTACATGAACAGCAGAAGTTCAAGAATGGGTCACAGCACTAACTTCTATAGTTAGCACAAGACAATTAATGCTGTTTCAATGAAGAGACAATTCATGCTGGACTAATCAGTAGACAATTAATGTTGTTCTAATCAATAAGCAATTAATTTTGACCTAATCAATAGGCAATTAATATCAGTCTAAACAATAGGCAATTAATGCTGATCTAATCCATAAGCAATTTATGTTGGTTTAATCAAAGGCAATTAATTCTGACCTAATGGTTATAGAATTCCATCAAGGCCCAATAGGGGATGAAGAGATGCTGGGTCTGTGTGGGATGCTCTTTGGAGGGCTGGTGCTGATGTGATAGGCCAAATGGCCTTTTCTGCACTGTAGGAATTCTATGATGATTAGGTCCGAATTAATTGCTTATTGATTAGACCAACATTAATTGTTTCATTTGAGTATTCATAAGAATTGGGCCAATATTTAATTTGTAATTTTGCCCTGAATGTGTAACCAGTATGTAGTCAATAGTCTCAGATGTTTCAGAAGGTCTCATGTCAAAGGGAAACTGGACTGTAGTTCCATAGGGAATGGACTGGAAAGGTCAAAGTGTACTTGTTCAATTCAAACTCACCAGTAATGATGTCCCATTTCACTTTGCTCATGTCTATTATTTCATTTTTGTCCAGAATATAACTGCACATATTTCAAGCATTTCACATCAGGAGAAAATGCAGAAATTTTCCAAGTTACTACTCAGAAAGGTAAGTGACTGAAATCTATCAGTTCTTGCTCAGTTGTGGGATCAACTCAATTTGTTATCCAATGTTATTAGAAAGAATGATAAACATAGAGCACAGTTTAGAACAGTGACTGAAAAAGTGATGGAGTTAGCCTCACAAGTTAACAAGGAGAGTTGTTAGATGGAGAGGGCCCTCATTCATTGATAACCTACATCCCCCTTGTTCCCTGCATCTTCCCCAACAGTATCAACAGTTTACAGGGTATGTCACTGACGGGGCCAGTCTTCGCGTGTGTATGTGTGAGCCGAAAGGGCCGTTCCATCAGGAGTGGGGTTACAGTTGAACCTGATCCCTAGCTCAGTTCACATCCACTTGCAGTTTGCAATCAGAAGTCCCCTAACAGCAGAAGCAAGTGTCTTCCATTTGCCCACACAGCCAAGATATTTACTGTGTCACACTCTGACATTTACAGAATGCCTAGCTGTGATCATGTACACCCAGGTACAAACCCAGGATTAAACCTAAGCCCATTCTAGTCTGTGGTTACATGTCCAATTGGGGTATTTCATGTATGTTAGATTTTAATTAAAATGATGATTTTGTGAAACATGGTTCCTGAAGTTGAAGACTATGAGCTAATATTAGAGTGTTTGATTTGTTCTTTTGTTTATTGAACTATACAAAGATACAGCACAGAAGGAGGCCATTCAGCTCATGTGGGCTAAAATTGATGTTTGGCCCCTTTTAACAATGTTTCGCTTATATAGAAAGTGACAAGAAATCAGAACTTTTTGAAAGAATAGAAGAGTACCAAGCAATTTCTGCTACTAATTGTCACAAAAACTGCTATGTATTTTTAAAAATTTAAACTTTCTAAATATGTGAGAGTTAATCTAGTAGAGTGGGGGGAGTGGAGCTGACATTTAGATCTGAAACAAAAATAGAGATTGCTGGAGAAACTCAGCAGGTCTGGCAGTATCTGTGGAGGGAGAAACAGAGTTAATGTGTCATGTCCAGTGACCCTACTTCAGAACTGCAGCTCTTTGTTTTATTCAGATCTGAAGTTGGTCAGGAACACAGATCTTGGCAAAGCCCTGAAGACCAACTCCAATCCATTTACTCAGCTGCCCATTGGATTTAAACTCAGGCTCTTGCAATCATTATGGTTCAGCACTGTACTGGAAAAGTTTTTGAACACTGAGCCACCAAGTCTGATGCCATGTTTACCCAACTACATAGACTGTGCCCCGTACTCTGTAAAATATCTCTTGGTGCCACATATGTTTCTCAGCCTCACACTGGGCATCTAAGGAATCAATATGGTGCGGGGCTTCAGTCTGTGTTCATGCAGCAAGAGGCAGGGAAGGGTGTTATGTGAAAGGGTAGGCTGACCCTTTTCCTACTAAAGTAGAGGGTTAAATGTCTCTTTGAGGCCCTGTTTGGAAAAGTGGGTGGCCCCGGATGTTGCTGACACTGTTTAAATTTCATAGATTATTGTGAAAGAAGAACTATATTGGAGAGAGTTGTGTTTTCAAACTGGCGCTGCCTTTTTAGGTATTGGATAACCCAGTTAGTTATCTTTCTCAAATGAATACAAGACAGGAGCTTAGTTATAAGTGAGTGAATCTGCGGGCACATTTCTAAGTTTCTCAGCATCTGTTTCTCTGCAGAATACAGTATTTCAGCAGCAGCGATCGCTATTATCAGCATCGGTTTCATGGTGCTCGGTACAATCTGTCTGCTGCTCTCTTTCAACAAGAGGATGGATTATTTCCTGAAACCAGCTGGCATGTTCTTCATCTTTTCAGGTAGGTCCACAGTGCAGGGCTCAGACAGTTAACAGCTGCACTGCCGTCGGCTTGGAGTGTGGGCCCTATAAGTCATCTGGTTTTATTAAAGCCTTTTTTTCTCTGAGCGAATAGGTAGGCAAATCGGTGAGGCTCCCTCAACAAAATATTCTTCATGCTTCACACTGCGCTGTGTTAAGACTGACAATACAAAGAAGCAGAGCATAGGGCCGTTTGTGGCACAGTGGTAGTGTCCCTCCCTCTGAGCCAGGAGATCCAGAAAGTCCCACTTTCTCCGGGTCACACAACATCTCTGAACTGGTTGATTAGAAAATATATTAGACAACATATAGGAGTTAATGTATCTGCTTGGACCAGAAAATTCCACTTGCACTGAAGATGTATCATTCCGTGTCCAAACAGAGTGATTCAACATACTGACTGTTTTTAAAGGAACAGTTTATAGTCAATATGTTCTTAAAAAGGGCTTAGTGCTCACTTATGGTGCTTAAAGAAAGTGTGAAGTAGATATTTTCTCACGAAGCTGTTTGGCGATAATATGACACATACTCCTACAGCAGGTGGGATTGAACCAAGGCCCTCTCGCTCAGGGGTAAAGGGTGGATATCAATCCCACCTGTCATGCGGAAGACCGGAGTTCAGTTCAAATACTAGGCAATGCTGCTAAAGGGTCTTACCTGGTGTTTGTGCGGTGTGTTCCTGTCTCTAGTATTGACCCACAGGGGTGTCATTGCAACAGGAAGGAGCTGGATCTCATTGGCATAATGAATGAATCAATGGTGACTTTACATGTATAATTATGCTTTTAGATATTTTCTAGTCAACTGCTGAGAGATGTTATTACACACCTCAGGAGCAGAGGGGACTGGAACCCAGGCCTCCTGGCTCAGAGATAGGGACACGACCACTGTGCCACAAGAGGTCCTTCACATAACGATGCTTTAACTTTTGTCTCATTTATATTCCTTAATTTATTTTCCTTCTTTTGTTTCTCTTTCTTTACTAATTTCAAGCTGACTTAATTTTACCCTCCTTTTTAGTTATTCCTTTACTCTGTTGTCCTCATCACACTTTAGAAGTTCACTTTCCAGTCCCTTTGTGAGCAACATCTTTTAAATAAAGTTACATGAACAAGTCTAATCTGACCCTTAATCTCAGCAGGATGTTGTTCCATAGTTACCAGGAAGTTGTTCCTCAGTTACCAGGTGAGGGTGGCAACACTTCAATATTATTTTTGTTCATTCATGCATGTGTGCTTATGCCTGAGCCAGTATTCATTGCCCAGCTCAAGATACCTGGAGAAGGTGGTGGTGAGCTGCCTTGCTGAACTGCTGCAGTACCTCCAATGTAGGGATTCTCACACTGCCATTAGAGACTATAATTTTGACCCAGTGACACTGAAGGAACGGTGATATATTTCCAGGTCAGAATGGTGAATGACTTGGAGGGGAACTTGTAGGAGGTGGTGCTCCCATGTATCTGTTGCCCCTATCCTTCCAGGTGGTGGTGGATTTGGAAGGTGCTGTTGGAGGACAGTTGCAACCGTGCATCTAATTATGGGGCTCATTTGTGATTGTACCTCATCTTGGAACCACTTGGTTCGCTGATGTTGGTTATATTCACGACTCACTTGGTAGTTGTAATAAAAGGAACTCCAGGGAAGGAGCCAGTGCAAGTCTCAGCTGGTTCCTGCTTCAGTCTCTGCAATGGCTTCCTCAACCCATTTGAACCAGGTGATCAGTTTACCAAGTGGTTTCCTTCAGGGAACTCCACACCAGATGGGACCTCAGTCTGGACCAGTAGTTATGTTTCCTTTAAAGTAGATGCAGTGGGTATGGGACAAGGACAGTTAGAGTCATAGAGCTGTTCAGCATAGAAATAGACCCTTCAGTCCAACTTGGCCATGCTGACCAGATATCGTAAATTAATCTAGTCTCATTTGTCAGCATTTGTTACATATCCCTCTCAACCCTTCCTATTCATATGCCCATCCAGATGCCTCTTAAATGTTGTAATTGTACCAGCCTCTACCACTTCCTCTAGCAGTTCATTCCATATACGCACCACCCTCTGTGTGAAAAAGCTGTCCCTATAGGCCCCTTTTAAAGATTTTCCTTCTCAACTTAAATATATACCCTCTTGTTTTGGACTCCCTCACCCTGGGAAAAAGACCTTAGCTATTCACCCTATCAATGCTCTTGTCTTTCTCACTGTGGTTGCTGGTCGGGCTCTGGAGGAAAGGACAAGACAAACCCCTCCCTTCAACATGTAGGTTTTTAAATATTCAGTCACTGGATGTGGCTTGGCCAGCATTTAAGACCATAAGACATAGGAACAGAAATTAGGCCATTCAGCCCATCGAGTCTGCTCCGCCATTCAATCATGGCTGATAAGGTTCTCAACCCCATTCTCCCACTTTCTCCCCGTAACCCTTGATCCCCTTGACAATCATTTATTCCCCATTCCTAGTTGTCCAGAGCACAGTTAAGAGTCAACCATATTATTGTGGGTCTGGAGTTACATGTAGGCCAGACCAGGTAAGGATGGCAGATTTCCTTCTCCACAGAGCATTAGGCTGAATCACTTATGTCCAGAATGAGTTGTCCCCTTGGTCAATTTGGGGGTTTATTCAGAGGGATAGCTAAAACACTTTACACATTCTTGAACCTAAAACAAAAGTTGGGGTGAAGAAACAATGACAATGGCACTTTTCTTTTTCTCCCAGTGCCGCAATGCTTTCATTTGCAAGGTCTATCAGACAATACAATGGGGCCACTCGGTGCCAAGAGAGTGACCCCGCGTGTGTCTCCCACCTACAGCTCCCTGCTGACTCACTGCACCTCCCTGTGTTCCAGGCCTGTGCATCATCATCTCCGTGGAGGTCATGCGGCAGTCGGTCAAACGGATGATTGATAGCGAGGAGACCATTTGGATTCAGTATCACTATTCCTGGTCATTCACTTGTGCCATCTCTGCCTTTGTCATCCTGTTCATCGGGGGAATCACTCTCCTTCTCATCTCTCTGCCGCGTATGCCCCAAAACCCATGGGAAACTTGTATGGACGCACCACCAGAACATGTGTGAAGTGGGAAGGAGAGGAAACAAATTTACCCACAAAGCAGCCGCTTGAGGCAGGGGTATGGGTGGTTTATTTTGGACGGTTTCGTTTATGCTGTTTAAAGAGGGAGGCTCATTATCAGGGGTTTCTTAAAACAGAAAAATAAAATGTAAAGAAGATTGATTCACAACTTTAACTTCAAAATCCTGAAATCGGAAATGAAAGCAGAAATTGCTAAAATAAAAAAAAAAACTGCGGATGCTGGAAATCTGAAACAGAAACAGGAATTGCTGGAGAAACGCAGCAGGTCTGGCAGCATCTGAAACAAAGTTAATTTCGAACTGAAAACGAGCCCCTTGCAGTTCTGCATAAGTCCCAGTCTAGTCCAAACATTCTGCCTGTTTCTCTCCCTCCACATACACCTCCTGTTTCCATCTCAGATTTCCAGCAGCCGCGGGATTTTGCTTTCAGGAAATGCTGAAATATTCAGGGTTTCAATCGGGGAACTAGAGACACGGGAAGCTTGTCGTGGCCTGGACATTAACATTTCATTCTCTTCCAGATGCCTGCTGAGCGTTTTGTGCTTTCTTTAAATTTACTTAGCAGAACAACAGGGCGTGAATAAGTCCACTCACCATTAATAGTGAGTCATTGATGGGGTTATGATTATGACTGTGAACTGCGCTGATGATAGCTTTGCTCTCTCACAGCTAACCTCCTGGTAATACTGCACCATCGACACCGTTCTCAGCACTCACTGTCGTGAGGCTGTTTTCGAACAATGATTGTTTGATTCACCTCGGTTGGAAAAGGGGCCACGTTAGCAGATCTCACTGTTGTGAATGATTGTAAGTGCTCTCACAACGGCAGATGAAACATTAACACCTTAAATACACAGCCACAAAAATAAAAAGAAAGAACTGCCGATGCTGGAAACCTGAAACAAAAACAGAAATTGCTGGAAAAACTCAGCAGGTCTGGCAACATCTGTGAAGAGAAACTTAGAGTTAACTTTTCGGGTCCACTGGCCCTTCCTCAGAATTGGCAGTGACCACAGATGCTGCCAGACCTGCTGAGATTTTCCAGCAATTTCTGTTTCAAATACACAGCCACAACTAGTTTCAAGATATTTTCTAATCAACCTATTCAGAGATGTTATTACGCATCCTTAGAGCAGGTGAGAACTTGAACCTGGGCCTTCGGGCTCCGAGGTAGGGACGCTACCATTATGCCATAAGAGCCCCTCCGACTAGCTCCAAAGCTTAAAAGAAATTCAGATCCGCACACTGTATGTTGCATTTACCATAACAGTCATTGCCTTTCGGAAATTCCCAACCCACCATAAACAGTTTGGGGGAAGTTTTCTTTTTAATATGTTTTAAATATCGGTATGTATTTGTAGCAGTATTTATTGTGGAACATGTGTGAATACATGTATTCAGATATATTTCTGACACAAAACATGGGTTCATCCATTTAGAAAAGAAATAAACTGCAATTAGACAAGAGTACTCAATCTCGCTGTCAAATCCTGACCCTGTGTCGCAGAGTTATTTTTGAGGTTTTTAAATCCACTCATTCAGGGAAAACAGCTTCCACCATCTGAAATATGATTTGAGAACGAGAATCGGAAATAAACAACAATTACATCCTGGGTCTGTAGCTTAACAACTGGCAAAAGCTTCAATCTTGGACAATAGTATCATTTGCCACTTCCCACATTTGTCTGACAAATGGCTTTGGAGTTCTTTAGATGTTATACAATTTATTGAGGCTTCCCTGTATCTAAGCGTGTACTAGACTTGCATTTTAACTACATCACCGCCTTTATAATAAATATGTACCCAAATGTCTCCCATCAGGAACTGAGTCACAAGAATCTCTTGAGAAAATGTTTTCCCTGAAATTGGTTTGTTCTTTTTTGCCGTGGCTTTATCTCCCTGGAGTCAATATTTCGGTGATTGTGAAGGATGGTGCCTGGAGGTTGGTTTGTTCAGTGTATCAAACAAACATTGATGACTCTGACCCCTTTAGTTTACCCTTCTCCTCGTTTATCCGGAAATCCCCCTGAGATTGCAGCGTGGGTGACATCTGAAATCTGTAGAGGTTATGCTGGTGAAAACGCGTCTCTTAAACACTGAATCAGAGATAATAGGAACTGCAGATGCTGGAGAATCCGAGACAACAAGGTGCAGGGCTGGATGAACACAGCAGGCCAAGCAGCATCATAGGAGCAGAGAGGCTGACGTTTCGGGCCTAGACCCTTCATCAGAAGATTTCATCCAGCCCCGCACCTTGTTGTCTCTTAAACACTGAGCTTTGCACTGATTAGTGTTCAGCTTTCTGTGACAGGGAAAGGCAGTTGAGTTACATCCAATTGGAATTGCCAAGCAGCCTTGAGGAGCTCTCAGGACTCTACTCATGTATAGAATGTTCCTCTTAAACCCAACTGATCAAGTTCTTAAAAAGTGCAAGCTATAACAGAATCCTTAGTGTCAAACTATACTTTGCAAATGCACATTTGTTGAATTATGAGACCTCCCCTCCTCCCAAGATATATTTTATGTATCAATTTAATTGTTAGACAGTTGTTTGGCAGCACAGAACTTGAATATTGAGAAAAAAAACATTTTGTCAAAGGCTTTCATCTTATACTCATGAGGACAATTGACAAGAAATACCAAAGTAAAGGGAAAACAGAGTGTTGATTGCTGATGTCAATGATGACTGACAGTTAACTCATAAGCTTTGTTTAAATTCTAAACCAGGCAGGCTTACTATGATAGGACAATATCTTGACCAGAGTAATAAACCAGATAATGGCTGCACCTATTGTGTTGAGCTGAAGCAGGGACTTTGAGTGTGTTTGATGTTCTTTCTTTGTATGTTAATGTATGCAGCTTCCAGTTCTCACAAATGTGCCACAATAAGCCCACCTAATAATTCTAAATTGGTTGACAGTATAATTCTTTGTACACTTAGAATTAAAAACCATTTGTTGTTCAGTTGGAGATTTACATCTAATATTGGACACTACTGAATGCATGGGCTGGATAGGAATTGTCAGTGCCTGCTTGTTGTAACCAGCTGAAAGGTCATGCTGTTTGATATAGTCTGCCAATCTTTGGGAAGTACAGCCTATGTAGCTGGCATCATATTGGTACTGAAACTAACATACCATAATACGCATTTGTGTGGTAGATAGATATCTTTTTGGCTTGATGGCAGGATCTTGTTATAAACAAACACCACTCATGACTACAGCATCATAGCAGCATGACTCATTGAGCTTCAACTGCTGCTCAAACCTTTCAGATAATGTACCCTGGAAGACTGGGTACTTTGCAGGTCCAAAATGACAGCCTTAGGGCTGTTCATGAGTTTTATGTGATATACAGAGAACAATGATCTGATCAGGATAGCTGTTATCCCATAGCATGGCCTTGATGTGCTCTATTTTCAGCATCAAGCTTGCATGTTCAACAAATGGCTCAAACCTTATCTACAAGGTTGTTAAGTAAAAGGCCAATTTTATAATGTGAAGCACTGTAGGAATCCCAATGTGTATACGGGCCAGTGAAAGTAGGTTTTTGGTAAACAGTAGTAGAGAACACTTGGCCAATATCTCAACTTAAGGTGTCAAGAAAAGGGAGCTCACTTGTTACATTTCAATTTTGGATTTGAGTGCAGGATGGAGCCCATCCAGGATACATGTGGAAATTCTTGCATACAGCTGCAGACTCCTGTATTACAAACATCTAATTTAAAATCAGAAATATGCATAGAGAAGAAGGTTACATGGGATTTCATTGAACGTACAATTCTCATGGAATCCAAAAAAGATGTTTGCAGGAGCTGGGAACCCATAGCAAAACCAGCTATTTGGGCATAGATGGTGTCATTAAAACTGAACTCAACTGTACAGGTTACTGAGTTCATATGTTTAATGAATACTGATTCACAAAATGTGGCAGGTCTAGATTGCTGCAGTGCAAATATCTGTTGACTCTTTGAGTGGTACATTGGTGAACAGGTCAGGATTGTTAAATGAGCACAAGGATGCCAAATTCCTATAATATGTGAAGCCCTATATGGTCTTCACAAATGTGAAGGAATTAAAAAAAACACATTTGTGGGATGTGGGCGTTGCTGATTGGCTAGCATTTCTTGCCCATTCCTAGTTGCCAATGAGAAGGCGGTGGTGAGCTGCCTTCTTGAACCGCTGCAGTCTTCCTGCTGTGGGTTGATCCACAATGCCATTAAGGAGGCAATTCCAGGATTTTGACCAAGTGACAGTGAAGGAACGGTGATATTTTTCCAAGTCAGGATGGTGAGTGACTTAGAGGGGATCTTGAAGATGGTGATGTTCCCATATGTCTCCTGCCTTTGTCCTTCAAGGTGAATGTGATCATGGGTTTGGATCTTTGTTATCTAAGGATTTGCTACACACTGCTGCTGCTGAGCATCAGTGGTGGAGGGAGTGGATGCTGGTGGATGTAGTGCCAATCAAGTGGGATGCTTTGTCCTGGATGGTCAAGTTTCTTGAGCATTGTCGCAGCTGCACTCGTCCAGGCAAGTGGGGAGTATTCCATCACACTCCTGACTTCTATCTTGTAAATGGTGGACAGGATTTGAGGAGTCAGGAGGTGAGTTACTCATCGCAGTATTCCTAGCTTCTGACCAGCTCTTGTGGTCACTGTGGTGAGTCTAGCTGAGTTTCTGGTCAATGATAACTCCCAGGATGTTGATAGTGGGGGATTCAGTGATAGTAACACCATTGAATGTCAAGGGATGGTGGTTAGATTGTCTCTTATTGGTGATGGTCATAGCTTGGCATTTGTGTGGCACGAATGTCACTTGCCATTTGTCAGCCCAAACCTGGATATTGTCCAGACCTTGTTGCATTTGAACATGGACTGCTTCAGTATCTGAAAAGTCATGAATGGTGCTGAACATTGTGCAATCATCGGCAAACATCCCCACTTTGGACCTCATGATGGAGGGAAGGTCATTGAGGAAGCAGCTAAAGATGGTTGAGCCAAGGACACTACCCTCAGGAACTCCTGCAGAGATGTCCTAGAGCTGAGATGATTGACCTCCAACAACCACAACCAT